CTGTGTGACGAATTAGCTGTTTATAAATAAAAGTCTCTTTAGCACAGCTGGGACATTAACTCTATCGAAGGGTAAAGTAACAAAAAACATGTCACTATGAGTGTTATACTTTGTATTTTGTACACAAACCAATAACACAATGGAATGAAGTAATTTGGATTTGCTAATTTTCATTTTCCACAATACAAAATTAATAAGCTTAACCCACTTGTAATAAGCTTGCCGAGGCAGTAATTGTTTCGCAGGAAGTACCTGATTCAATTATAGAAAACCACTAACTGAATCAAGGGGGCATCGGTTAGTAAATCCCCACTGCCAAAGCGGCCTGTAATTTAAACGAATTCACATCACTTCAATTATGCACATTTGTTGGGCAATTTTCATAATAAATATTCTAATTGGCTTTTAATTATACGGAAAGCGAAAAGCGTTTCGTGTTCGAGTCTGGCAAATTGACTAATTGCCGCTTGTAATTGCAATATATTAGATGACGCCTCATTGGCCCGGACCACCGAACACGGCTAGTGCCGTTCGCAGCCAGCTCTATGAACGTTGGTATGCACCTTACATTGAGCCATATGCAGGCCCCAAATGGCAAACCCATAATTAGCCTGAAAACTCGGGGCTCGCACGCAATCCGGGCATTTGTTGCCCTGTCAGAGGAGGCTGATCGGGTTCTGTATTAAAGGTTGGACTATGAAGGTACATCTAGGCATGGCCCTACGATAGCTTCACCTCGGGCTTAATTCAATAACGGCACCGGCAATTCAGTTGCGGTCATCACTAATTGATTGTTTAACTAACTAAATGTTCGAGGCGGGATTTTCACTGCCGTTTGAATAATGCATTGCGCTGCGGGTCGTATGTAAAGGAATTAGATTTTGTAATGAACCGTGGTAAAAAAACTAAAAGTTTCAATATTTTTCATTTTATTATTATTACGACTTTCGTCTTAAATTTATAATGAATATTTAAACCCAAAAATGTATCAATAATACAAGATATTTTTTAAATTTTTATAATAAAATCAAACCACTGTTCAATACCCATGAACATGCCAACAATCATACGCAGCGTGGGCGCCCTAGCTCTGCGAGCATAAAACAGTAACAACAAACATCAGGTTGTCATAAAGAGTGCATATTTATGTGACTAATTCGAAATAAAACATAAAACTCACCAAATAATATTAAGAGTCTGCTCGCAACGGACCAAATAGCCGCGAGCACTGCCGCTGGGAAGAGAAACTGAGATGCATATCAACAATTAGGACGCCCCATGGAGCTGGCCACGAAATCGGGAATTGGTAATGGGCAGCCGAGAATTGAGAATTGAGAAATTTGACGCTTTTACGAGCCGGGGGTACTGGGGGAATGGGGAAACGAGAGACTGGCAGCAGCAGAAGTATAATGTCTCTCTTTGATATACCAAATTAAAGCATTCGATATTTGATCGGTCGCAGGCACTTTGCATATGAAAGAGTCAGTGGTGGCGTCTGGCGCCACAAATCGTGATGAGGTCGGGGATCTAACAGTCCAAACACTCCGAGAGCCAAACATAATTGAGGCAATTAGAAAACATCAAAATATTGGGCCCTGGACGCACAAAATTGTTAAATAAATAAACGGCAAACGAAACGTTGTTGCGGTCTCTTAATTAAGCACTTGAGGGCCTAAAAACCCAACCAAATGTTTATTCGGGTTTTGCTCTGAGACAAGTCAAGCAGTTGGCAATGACTGAGCGAATTCGTAATCTAAAATATATGGGAGACTGGCACCGATCCACGCCCACTTTCGGATCATTCAATTAAAACGCTTACGAATTATTATTATTACAAACAATGTGTCGAGGGCCTGGAAGAGTGATGCCAATCTAGTTGGCTGCAGGAAGTGCCCAAAGTACCCAGAACAATTCAAAAGTAAATTACAAGCAATTGGAGTCGCCAGATCAATATCTCGATATAGTTTCATACACAATTCTATTCCAGAAACCGAATGACGGAAGTGGAGTTAACAAGCGTGGCGGACCTGAAAGTTCGTCGCCTAAGTCTTTCGTTTAGACAAATGGACATAACATGGACTTTAAAATTAATTACTTAATTTAACACAACAAGCGGCCGGCGACACCTTCGACGACGATGATGTTCCAGGCGGCAACAACGGAAAGCACTAAACATTCGTTCGACCCGAGTCCGAAACCTGTTGGCGATCACTGTACAATCAGAGAGTCTGTGTATCTCTTGTGAGTAACTGTGATCGGCGACGTCCAGCGATCCTGGGCTGGACGATCGGGCTTAACAGATTAGTTAGCATATCCCATATCAGGGTAATTATTGTTAAATACGATAACGATCTTGTACAGCGTTGACATTTATTTATTTTCCTTAATTTCGCCGTATTAATCTTCCTGGAAACACACATTAAACAGAACACTCTGCGATATGGCACGTCCCGGTCTTGAACTCCGCCGAGGATGAGTCTCGAATCATTAAGTTGGCCCTGGAGAAGGGGGGATCTTGACAATTTGCATTATGCTGGCGATCGATCAGCGATCGGTGAAATTTAACAGATAATGAACACCGGATCGGGCACTCTCAGTTGGCGAGGAGGGGGGACTACAGAGAAAACCAAACTCAATTAAAATCCGAAATAACTTCAAGACGGGACACAGCTAATTTAACCAAATTGGATTACTTAATAAACTTTATGGGATAAATAACAATAACAACGGGCAGCAAGTTGTGCGTGGTGCTGGCCATAAAGTGAATGCGTTGTTTTTGTTATTATTTCTATATCTCTCATTTTTGGGGCGCGCCGCATAACAAACCTTTTGAGGCATTCAAAAAAATCGGAGCCAGCCACGAGGCAAAACAAGTTGTACAAACACATGTCGGTATGTCTGAGCGCTGATATAAAGTTGTACGTAGGTCTGTAGGTATATATAACATCATCAACAGCCACAACTTACCAAATTGTGTTTTAATTTCCGAGAATTATCAGCAAGGGATTTCTTTCTGATTTTCTGATTTCAGTTTTTCGTTTCGTTTTCGTTTTCTTCGTCTTTTTTTTTGTATTTTATTCAGCTGGGCAACATTTGAAGTGATATTGAAAATCGGGCAAACAGATAAGCCTCCCGCCGCCCTAATCCAATTTCGAATTGGAGTTCGGGCCGTAAGGTGGGCGTGGTGCTGGCCCATTATTAATTACAATTGCCCTCCGATGGGCATCTGGGGGCTTCCATCAAATGTGCGTGCCTGCTAAGCAAACAAGACTGGCTATTAGCCGGTAAGGCTTAGCCGGATAGGTAACCCCGGCGATTTTGATTGTGATCTCCCTTGGTGTCCGACCATATAATTTTCCCGCTCTGATTTATGCCATACCGTTGTAAACTTTGCAATTTCAAGATTGCAACGGGCCGGTTAGAGCCAACTGAGGCCCGTGAGACCTTTGACAGAGTGCCACAATTTAGTGCTGTTAACAGCTGGTAATTAGACTCGTTATGTCCGTTAATTAGCCATATCAGCCGAACCAATCGAGCTTGCAGTTTGCCCATTGCAATTAGACATTGCATATTCATTAGACCCGCCGATCAGCGATCGGCAGTACTGGACTTGTCTCGATAACGATAAACCGCCTGTCCGCAATTGTCGCATAAATTTGTGGCCCAATAATCATAAATTTGGCTTTTGAATCATTAGCACACCTCGCGTTTGGGGCCTAAGTCGTTTTAATTTACCATCTCGTTAACCAGTTTCTGTTTTGGCTCCTGGCGGCCTCCCACCACCCCTCTTCGGGCCACAACCACCCCATCTACCCACCCCACCTCCTCACACTTTGATCTCTCACGAGTTGCGCTCAATTAAATTCTACAATAAAACACGATTTGCATTTTAAATTGTGCAATTAAAATGCTTATGAAATCTATAAGAAATAACGATCGCTAAATGCATTTTATAGCCGCCTCCTTCGGCTAGCCCCCTCCCTTTCCGCTTTCAGTGCCATCTAGCCATCTCTCTTGCACCCCGCCACCTGTCACCGATCACCGATCGCCGATCGAGTGGACAGAAACAGCAACAACAATGTTAAATGTCACACGCTAATTAATTGACGGCGCATAATTTTTAACTCTGTCACACAGTGGGACGAACTCAATTAAAAAGTGGGAGGAGATTGCACTGAAAAAAAATCTATTTTCTAGAATCTTTATCTGAAAAAAAAATAAATAAGAACCATTTTCAATTTCTTTTCATAATGAATATTTTATATTTTATATAATAATATTTTTATATATTTCTTATGATTATACTTCTTGGCTTAGATATTAGATACTAGCAACTAGGGCTATTTTAGACGGGTTTAAATAATATCCAGCTGCTGTTGAGCGACTCAAGAGGTTCGTGCTTAGAACTAAACATAAATAAATGCTAGATCGTCATACAATATACAAAGGAATAATACAACAGCTAGTGGAGCTAGTGGGAGTACATTTTGTTCTTTAGGAATTCACTAATTAAAAGTAATGCTCTTCATGAATATTTACACGCTTAAATCATTAAATTTGTACAGTTATAGTTGGTGTCTAGCCTAGGGTTCTTTTGTATTTGATTTCAATTTTTTGTTGGTGAATTTTTGGAAAGAGAAAGCTTCGAAGAGGAGGAAACAACTTGATTACTTGAGCTCTACTCAACCTCTGGTCTTCGTCTTCGCAAGGATTTGGCACGGATCTTGAGAGATGGGAGAGTGAGGGGGCGGAGTGTCTGTGGACAGGACAGGATGGTCTCTAATACTTTCCTATCGCTGCACGCCTGCTATGTACAGTAAGCCTAACGCTGCTTGCACTATTTAAGAATATATCACAACAAAACAAACTATGTTACTTTCGCAGTAGCTCATCTGGGAGCTCAGTCGACGTAACTGGAACTGGACCCCATCACTTGGTTGGGTAAGGAACTCACGGACCGCCACCGATCGCAGCAGGGATCTTTGATTTTCATTCGCGGTTCAGTGGCTGGCGTCCAGGTCGTGTTCCTCGTCGCTGGGGCAGTCGTCCATCTCCATGTCGATCAGCTCGTCATCGTCCTCGTCTCCGCTACCATTGTGCAGATTGCGCTCGGATCCCCCGCTGCCTCCCTTCTCGTCCTCCTGCTGCATCCGTTTGTGCTTGGTGCGGCGGTTCTGGAACCACACCTTCACCTGCGTCTCGGACAGATTGAGGGACTGGGCCAGGGCCTTGCGCTCGGCCCCCACCACGTACTGGTTGCTCTCGAAGGCGTGCTCCAGCTTCAGAAGCTGCGACGGCGAGAAGGCGGTACGAATGCGTTTCGGCTTGCGGAACGGCGGTACCAGGAAACCTTAAAGAAGATAAAAAAAAGGTTGCTGGTTAGTCATCGGTTTAGGATAAAAGGAATTTATTCAAGGGAATCCTTTCAAAAAAGTATTAATCAAGAACTAATAACTTTTAAAAAAGCTTTTTTCCCTAATTTGGTTTTAAATATTCTTGACTAAGATACTTACTTCCTGGGAACCGGTGTGGGAAGATCCTTCCATGACGACTGAGCAGCCAAGGGTACAGTTGGTAGCTTTCCCTGGGCATGCCCGGATTGGGCATGAAGGGAGCGGCATGTGGCGGCAATCCGGCAGCAGCAGCGGCCGCTGCAGCAGGGCCCAGAACGTGGCCGGCTTGCAGGGCAGCGGCCATCTGGAACTGGGCGGCGGCGATCAAGTGGGGGTTGTGCTGGGGCGGCAGCTCTGGCGGTGCATTGATGTACGGGGGCAGGGCCTTGATGTCTGGCAAGCCGGGCTGACCCTGCGGCATCGTCGGTCCTCCGGGGCCCACGGGGAAGGGACGCACCAAACCCGCTGGCGGCATACCGGGCATCATCATCGGACCCGGTCCAGCTCCCGCCGGATGCATAACTGTCGGCTTGGGATAGTTGGGCGGCTGTTGTTGCTGAGGAGGCGTGGCATGTGGACTGCTCACCAGCAATGTGGGCGACGAGGAGGGCTGCGATGACTGAGGGGAAACTGATTTCGGCGGCGTATGTGGCGGCTGGATGCGCTGGGCGGGATTCTCCGCCTGCTCCAGGGCAGGGGGGGCAGGTGATCGCTCTCGCTTCAGAGAAACGGCAACTGGAGAGGCATCGTTGTCCAGGGAGAGCCTCGTCTGCAGGGGGCTCAGTCCACTGGCCACGGCAGCGTTGTGGTGCAGGCGCTGCAGCAACTCCTGGATGTCTTGGTGGCTCTTGGGGGCTCCGTGCTGCTGTTGTTGTTGCTGCATGAGGATGTGCTGGTGGAGGACATGCTGCTGGGCGGGCGAGAGATGCGGATGCGGATGGGGAGGCGGCACGGCGTGCGGATGAGGGTGGAGGTGGTGGTGGGCTGGCGGGGCCATCAGGTGGTGTGGCGGCGATCCGGGGATGAGGGTCAGCGAGGTTGGCGGAGTCTGGGGCGGTGAGCCGGGCACATTGCGCTCCGACGGCGGCGGACTCTGCTGGCCGTTGTCCGGGCTCGAGTTGCCGGCGGCATTGCTGACCGCATCATTGCCCACAATGGACTCGATGCTGAAGCCGATCTTCTGCTTGGGCGTGGGCATCATGACGGCTGCAGCGGTGGGCACCGGTGGAATCATCTTAGTCATAAATACGCGCGTTTTGTTGGCGGTGGGCGGGGCGGCTAATAACTCGGCTATGTTGGCGGCTTTCTTAACTGAACACGTTTTCGATAACTTATTTTGTTTGTAATCCTTTAGGAAGTCCTGTTCCAGGCTTGACTTGAAACTCTGTATTTGGTTTTCGGTTTGTCACACTAAGCGCCACATCGGGAACGCTGTCTCAAAACACTCACTCACTCGCTGTAACTTTCTACTTTGTTTGAGATTTATGAAGCGATCGACGCGCTCGGAAAACGGAATACGTGTGCTCTCGACGACGTTCGCTGGCTGAATAAAGTCCGAGAGCCGGACTCAACCACCAAGTGTGTGCTGTGGGAATGCCGAGCCGGGGCTCACACACACCGACGCAGCGGAAACCCGTTTGACAGCCGAAAGGAAGTGACGCTGTTTCACTCTGTTTCTATCGCCATCGCTCTTTCGCCTGCCTTGTGGATTTTATCTTTCCCAGATACAGCTAGCCGCGAGTGCGAGCGAAACGAAAGTAGTGTCTGTCTGCATATGGCTGAGCTGCTAACGGTAGGGCGGGTCCATTTTAATGCGCTGCATTTACCGCTGATTCTCTCTTGCATATGGCTTCCGTTCGCCGTTGTTGTAGTTGTTGCCGCTTTTTCTGGCCTTTGTGTAATTTGGCTTAAACTGCCATTCATAGTTTTTGTTTTTGCGGTTAGATTTTTGTCCCGGAACGAGCGTTAAATGAAAATCTAATGCCAGGTGGGAGAATGTCTCTCTTGAGGCCGTCTGTCCAAATTTGAGGGAACTTTGCCGGGGATTTGCTGATAAGTTTTCTCTTAACCGGGGAAAACCTTTACAAATATTGGGGGAATTGTTCGCTGTGGTTCAGAGTTATGACGTTATAAATAAATCTAAAAAAAATCGAAATATCAGAAATCTGTACTTAATACACATTAGGGATTCCACACCATGGATGCACTTAAATACTCCTGTTGAAATAAATCATCCTCGAGCCGCGATTCGGACAGTTTTATTGATATCCACTATGGAGTTATTATTCGCTTCAATTTAAATGTTAATTTTTGGACATTACACTTTTTTTTGGCACACGACAAAGTTCGCATAATTTATGTAGTGTCCGAATCGCAATTCGGAATCTAAATCAGAGCAGGTCCATCAACGACCGAAACGTGCTAAAAGTCTCACTCCTATTCCCCCAATATATATTTTATTTACACATACACATATTTTCTTATCGAATAGCTAAAGTTTTTTGAACGCAATTAGCAGTGAGCAAATAATATTTTTGTAGTGTTATTTTTACACTTTCTTATCAGCTCGTCGCTTGAAATTCGTCTCGGGGCTTCGAAGATTTATGGGCTAGAAATGGCAGCAACAACTTGTGTGTTAGATTGGAATCTATCAAATTTTTATGGCCGTTAATTAAGCCACGCATATTTATACAACGATTTCGCTTCGAATCAGCGCGGGGCATAAAAAACTTTCGAGTCCATTAAAGCGTAATTATGTTGACTAATGGATTTTGATTACAAGGCGAAATTTCGTTGAAAGTTCATCGATGTTTTGCTGATTCGGTATATTTTGTGCCTTAATGCGCAAAACGTGTGTGAAGCTAATTGTGATTTGAATTTTATGGCATTGAGAATGTGAAAGTGTACGAATTACAAAACATCCAACTTATTCATTTTGGTTTAGATTATCATGAAATTTAAAAATATTTAAACAGAAATGCTTGATGCCTGAACATTAATTACAATCTTCCAAGTAATATAACATTTATTTTAGGTAATTTCACACGCCCACTAGACCGAACTGCTCGCTGCAGGATGTGCAAGACCTGCAGCCAGCACAATTGTGCTGCTAATGAGCGAATAAAGATATCCTGAGCACCGGGACCAGAGGCAATAGCGGTCAAGTGGACGGCCAGGACTCTGCTGTGACCCCCCGCTAGGGTTCGCAAAACGAAAACCATAAAAAATGCAACCTGGGGAATGCCTGGGGAAAACAATGCTTACAAATGTATTTATTAGATGGAAATAAAGAGGGATACAATGCAGCAGCCGCCCGAAAGGTGTCAAAATCAACAATTTTCAGCCTGCAAACAATTCCACAGAAACCTGGGCACAGCGTGATGCAATTTCACCTCGTCTCCCGACCAGAGACCTCCAGTCCAATTCCCGATCCGAGTTCAGCTGAAATTGGTAGAGAGATTGGTAGAAAAAAAACAGCAGTTTCACTTTTTTTTTGTTTTTCTCACTGGGAAAACAATGAAAAACGTGGCAAATTTCCCTTTGTTCGACTCGATGGCCAGAAATTGTTGAGTAGCAACAAGACAAGACAACAGAAGACGAAAAAAATTGACTTTAATGATGATGAGTTGGCGTTTAGAGTGTGCGTTTTAGATTCATTTGAATTGTGTGTATTTCCAGAGATCCATTTCCCTGGTCTTTTTGGCACAAACAAGAGAAATCTCTCCGGGGGAGCTTTGCGTTTAAATGTAATTAATTTCCAGCAACTCGATCGCAGAAGGAGAAGCGCCATCGCCATCGCTAGCTGTGGTTCCCAGAATACCGTCCTACATGTTTCACAGCTCTTCGTTATATTCATAATTTCCCGAACGATCTCTTGATAATTTGAACGCTTGTAAATCCACGCGACCCTCGAAATTATGATGGATCGACATCAACTTTTGTGGCTGCATTTTCACGCGTTGTAATCAAGAATTCCCGGGGCGGGTAAATTGGAATTGGTAGCAACTGACAGGGGTCCTAGGAGGCGGGGGCGTGTCAGCTCTAAGAACATCAAACAACTGGACTGTGATGAGCCTGGCCTGACGAAGAAAATTTCTGGGAAATTTCCAAGAGGAGCCTGCTAAATCCCATTTAGTGGAAACGCCACAAAAGGGTGCAAGCCGGTGAAGGATCGGATCATTTCGAATTTCAGGCACGACACATCGGAGCCAATCAAGTTGGAAATATACGAAATTACTACTATGCCCATAAAATCATATTAAAACACAATTTCTGGTCGGCAACTGCGGTAGCGGGCCAACATCATAAAACATTTATATCTAATCCTTGACAATCATAAAAATTACACAAACGACAAGGAGATATGGACTGCCGGGGGGACTGTGGAAATCTGACAAAGGCAAAGTGCCAGCGACAAAAGAAATGTTTAAAATGTCGGAAAAGTGCTCTAGAGATAGTGCGGGGAAAGGCGTATAACGAAAGCGAATAAACAGTAGTCAGAGAAATGTCATAAAATTGTCCAACTCCCTCTTGGATCCTCCCCCAACTACTATTACACTTCGAGAAAATAATATAGGTAGTTCAATATGGTTAAGGTATAGATAGTGGAGGCTTTGTTAGTATACTTCAAATATTATTTCATTCCATTATTGTTTCCTAACAAAAATTATATTTAATTTATATATATTTTCCAGTGCATCTTGTTCACTTGGTACGTGTGTGCAAAACAGTTGAAAATAGTGAAAAACCATTCCAGATCCAAGGCATTTTTACGACACTTTCCGTAAGGGGCATTCGAGCGTGGCTGGTCGAAGGACAGACAATCCTTTGACTCAGCGTGCAGCTCACAGCGGGAAGGGCATAAAAAAATAAATGTATATAGTAGTTGCCGAAATAAAATCAACGTAATGTTTATGACTTTTCACCGGTACATTCCGGCCCTCTAACTCTTCGTTAGTACTCCTCCTTTGACCCGGTTAGTTCTCCCGCCAGTTGACACTTTCGTTTTGGTAATATTTTGGCTGACAGGCACTTTTGTTCGTGTGTCATTATCGTTTTAGCCAGATCCGGACAGCAAGGCGGGATTTATGTTTAGACGGCATGATACCATTAGATCGGGTCTGGATAAGAGTTTTATGTGTTCTTGGTTTTGGTTTGTTCTTCTAGACATACTTTCTCATTAAATGTTTGCCATTTAGTAACAGTATCTTAAACTACATTTAAACTCTTAAATTATGTATTCAAATTCCCCAGATCATCCTTATAAGCGTTTGAGTGACCCCTTGGGACCTTACTCCGTGTGTTTAGAATGCCACACCTCACCATCTTTATCATGCATATGCCTCCCCTATCAACTTGATGGCCAAACCAATTACTCTTCTCGTCCTTATCGCAGATCTCTCCCATACACTCCCCCGAAATATTCCCCCTGACAAACACTTTATAAATTACACGCCCACACACTTGTCGAGACGGACCCACCCCACAAGCCACAACCAGCCATCCCCCAGCCCCCCAAAACAACCAAACTAATGATGACAGCCAATAAAAAATTCCAACAAATGTGTAAATTTGTAAAAATGACTGAAAAAAAAGGAAATTTCATAAAAATGTAAATTTAGAAAAGAGAAAGGAAAAGGGGGATGCGGATATAGGGATATGCGGACATGGTCGAGCGACTGGCAGAGTAGGGAGAGGTTTGGGAACAACAAATGAAATAAATTTGTGCATGTAACTCGAAAGTGTCGCTGCCAAGTCAAACAAAAAACAGAAATACAAAAAAATGGAAATGGAACTTGAACCGGGGACCGGAGACCGGGATGGTAATGGCAATTGGCAGGGGGACCAGGGGGTTGATACAAATAAGTGGCATGGCGGGGTGCCCTGGCAGATGACTCAATTTACACGCAACGAGCTCTGTAAATTGCGCCTCATTTCTTTCGCGATTCTTCCTCTGGCAGTTGTGCAAATGTCAAATGTAAAAATGAAATGAATATCCCAGATATCCTTCCTCCCGAAGCATCCTTTCCACTGTCTGCCTGCCTGCCATCCTCGGCTACAAATTGCCAAACCTAATAAAAGCGAAATTAGCTGCGAAGAGGGTTGATCTGAGAGTTTGGGTTTCTGATAAAAGGACAGCTTCATTTTGCGGATGTAAGCCATAAATTCAAATAAATTAATTGTCTATGACATTGTGCCAATTTCAAATTTTCCTTTATTAAGTTTAGTGTCTTTTCTCATCTGATTTAATTCTGATACATTTTATAAATTGCTTTATATCTGTGACACTACTTTCCCACTGGAAGTTGTGTAATTATTTTTGGATCATCCGCCTTTCGGCCGCCACCCCTAATTGTGATGAGGCCGAGTCGCCATTTTGCCAGTACCACTCCACTCCAAAGTGGCAAAGACTCTGGGCCTTGAGCGTTGGTCGTTAAACAAATGAATTGCCATAAGCGCCGGCTGATTGCGATGTCGCCCTAGATGGGCTGCCATAATAAGCTGCCGCGGCTGGGTGGCCCTGATTGGGCTGCCAGCTGCCGGCGGGGCATACGCTGTGATTAT